GATTAAAATCACTTCATATCTTTCTTTCTACGTAGTAATTCTTTCTTCCTGTACTATATCCTTATATGCAATCTTTCTTCTATATATTACCCCCATTGAATTAACTACTATGAATTCACTGTTCATCTTGTTGTACTAATGAGTGAAGTATGACAACTTGGACCGATGCATATATGTGCTTGTTCCTACGTTGTAGCTGACTGACTGACTGACTGAATCCATATACACATGAATAAATAAGAATATCATAACCATTGTATTTAATACGCCTTAAAAAAGATGTATTTTTCCTTTTTGCTATTTCTATTAACTACTTTGATATATACATTATAGAAATACAATATATTGATTAAGAAATCCGATTATAATCTACCCCTGGTTTTATTTTGTTTAACGGAAGTCAATAAATTTGATCTATTCTCCGTATGTTTTTCTAACCGTCTTTGTTGTTGTTGTTGTTGTTGTTATAGATCAATATAATCTAATTGTCATTTTTCTTTTTAGGCTTAATGAAAATTACAAACAATTATGTCTTATTTTAGAATCTATTCATATGATATTAGAGATTTATTATTATTTTTAGTTACAGTCACACTACTTAGATTATAGATTTAATGTTTTATTTATTACTACCTATCAATTAAGATCTGATTGTGTTACTAGGGTTTCACTTATTATTATTATTATTATCTCTAACATCTTTTTATCTCATATGGTTTTTAATTGTAAAAATTATGGAGCAGTGGCTGAATGGTTAAATGGTGGCCCACCAAGTGCCCTGGTACGGCTGAGGGTGAGGAGAGTCAGCTCTCCCTCTTGAAATGCTCTCATATGGTTACGTGTATACAGTCATTGTCGAAAAAGTGCTACTCACTGCCTTCTTGAAGTAGGGGGTGTTATTTACAAATTTGAGAGGACGAAAAGTGAATGTCCGGTACTTTAACCGGGTTGGTGGATATGGAGGATCCACCTAGAGGAAGTTGGAAAACCTTTATTTTGTTGGGGTTTTGTTCTCTGATCTGGATGGTTTGATCGTGGAGCTTCTACCTGAAGTTTGTGCTGTTGATATCGTTCAGAAGAACGATCACTCACCTGAGCTACAAAACCCTGATTCCAAACCAATGATGCACTCGGGCTCTAGAATCCTGAAGGAACAAATGGCGTGTAAACCAATTATTAGTCACTGGCTACTATGAGACTGCATTTCTTAAAGTTCCACCACTGCCTTGTAGATCAGACCTTTGGTTAAAGGCTCGGACTGTGGCCACCTAAGAAAACCACCTGCTTCTGTTTGGGCACCCTGGCAGTATCACAGCCCACACACAAGTCAAGTGACTTGTGTGGCGCATATGTATTCGGTGCCCCTTTGTACCAATATTTATGTGTTTAAATAATAAAAGAATGATTAAAATGTTCGTTCTCAACCGATAGGTCTCAGATTAGAACATTGTTCGACTCAGTTTAGTAGTATCATTGAGTCTTGCATAGAAAGAATATGGTTCGAAGTCGGAATGCATATAAACTTGTGTTTTATAAATGACTTAATATATTTATTTATTTACTTGAACACATAAATATTGGTACAAGCGGGCACCAGATATATATGCGCCACACTGGTGCGTGTAATTTCAGAAAAGCTCTTTAAGTATTCGTATTTGAGAGTAGCATTCAATTTTCAACCAGTCTGTGACTCAAGAACGTTTAAATAGAACCGAGTTTCCACCATAGGCAAGCTGCTGTATAAGTCGAAAAATAAGGATACACAAAGTGGGAATAAAAGAGGGCAAATAAGTAACGTAGTAAATAATAATAATAATAGTGTGAATTGTTTGACTGTTAATCGAAGCGAGAATAGTATTTTCAGTAAATGTCGTCATTTCATTCTATTTGTGTGTGGGCTGTGATACTACCCAGGTGCCCAAACCGAAGCAGGTGGTTTTCTCAGGGGGCCACACCCCGAGCCTTTGATCTAAAGGTCTGACCCACAAGGCAGTGGAGCATCGTGAGGAAATGCAGTCCCATGGTAGCCGGTGGCCAACAATTGGTTCCTTCAGGATACCGGAGCTCATGTGCACCATTAGTTTGGAATGAGGATTTTCTAACTCCCCTATGTGTACTCTCGGTGCTCACCAACCCAGTTAAAGCTCAGGAAATTCGCTTTTCGTCCTCTCAATCTGGTAAACAACACCCTCACCACGAGAATGCAGTGAGTAGGACTTCCTTGGCACAGGCTATATACGCGTGGCCATGTGAGAGCATATCGAGAGGGAAAGCGGTCCCTCTCCACTCTCGGCCATACTAGCGCATTTGGGAGCCATCTATTTGATATGTGGATAAAATGTAATCAAAAATTGTTCTTTTTTTGTGAAATTGAATGATCTTGGTAATTGAATAAATCTATATTAATTATCAATTTTATTGGTCATAATGAATATTAACCGATTAAATAGATAAAAGCAGAAAGAAAGAAGGAAAGAAAGAGATTGTTATAATCTCGTTAGTTAAGAGTTGAATTCTCAGGTCAATTCACTGTCAATCAATTTAGTGTATGAATATCATAAACAAAGTTTTAAGTTATTTTATTATTCATAAGATTTGATTGGTATATCTCTAGAATATTTGGATAGTTGTAAGCTTTAAAACTTATTATTCTTATATGATTTCGTGGCATCTATCTTAAAGACCCTAAATGCCCTGGTATGGACGACGGTAGGGAAAGTCACCTCTTTCTCTCGAAATGCTCTCATATCGCCAAGTGCATAGAACTACTGCTAGGGAAGTACTACTGATTGTCTTACACACAAATCAAGTGACTTGTGTATCGCATATGAATTTGGTGCCCCTTTGTACCAATATTTATGTGTTCAAATAGAAATATATCTTGAAGCTCCACAAGTTTCTTACGAAGATTTAAGTTCTTTTTATTCAATGCTACCATAAGATATTACTATTTTCGTTTTTTCATTAATTATCTAACTCATTTGCCTTAGACAAATGCGTGTATTTAGCTTCAAGCCACTATCCAAATCTAAGAATTGATGATATTACCTGGTAGTCCAAATCCTTCGGAGACAACGATGATCAAACACAGAGAGTCGTGTAACATCCTCAACTCGAAGAGGCCAGGTTTCACAAGCATAGAGCAAAACTGCTCTCACCGACGCGTTGTAGGTCCGACCTTTTACAACCATACTGACATCACGAAGGCGCCAAAGATGGCCCAGACTGGCATAAGCCGCTCTGGATTTCATTATACGTGAATCGATCTCACCACTCAACAACTACATAAAGATAATTTGAGTGACAAGCTTATCAGTTGTTTGTTTATAATAATGTAAAAGTGTTTAGTATACCATATCTTTGACTTTTGAATTCTTACGTTTCCATCCCAATTTATCCCCAGTGACTAGTTGACTTGATTCCTCCTATTTCTCTATACCCTCCCCCAAATAGTTAATGAAATTTTTTTCTACTGTTTTTCTCTGTTCTAGGGAATGTTTTTTAAGAATATGTCATCTATGTCTAATATTGTAATGATATATTTCAACGCTTGAACCTTATTGTCTTGTATACGTTTTTGATTTATTTAAAGTGTTACTTAAATTTATAAGTTTCAATAGTTGAAATCATGAGTCAATTGAAGCTAGACCACTATGGAAAACCAAGAAGCACTGGACGGCCGTTTCGTCCTAGTATGGGACTCCTCAGCAGTGGTGATCTGGCTTCAATTGACTCATGATTTCAACTATTGAGATTTCTAAAATCTCCGAAAAACCCCTTCTGATATTTATAAATTGTTAAACATTACTTCAGTGTGTCTATACCTCCATTCAATAGCTCCTAGTTTTTACCACTATCACCGTCACTTTTCTTTATGTAACAGTGAATGTCATTAGAAAAAAGGAGCTAAATTGTAGTATAATTGCAGTGAACAAAAACACGACTGGGGATAATTGAATGTATTTGACAAGAAATTATAGAGCATCTCATTAACATCTGAGAACCATCTAGTGTAAATAATTAATTTGCAGAATATCAATCCATCGTCTCAATCTAGACTGTTCCTTTTGTATATATTAATCCATTGTCTCAGATTTCGTTGTTTATGCATTTTCATACCAATCGCGTTCCGTTCCTGTTCTTTCCTTACCGATTCTCTACTAAAATACATTCTATGCCTGACCATCGTTATATACTACTTATATGGACATAAGTAACCCACATCACACTACTGCATTATATTAATCTCTTGTGCTATTTCCATATTATTGTGCTAGTGTGGTATGGCCACTTGAACAAACACCCATGTCAGACTATGCATGTTGATGATGTCTTTCTTGATAAAATCAGTATAATTTGATATGGAAATATAGTACGAAAGTGAATGAATCCAAGATTCTCAACTGAAACACATTCTATGCCTGGTCACCTTTATATACTACTTATATGGATATAAGTAACCCACGCACTTGACAATCACCATAACAACTCATATACTTAATGATAATAAATCCCAAGTTGATTATATTACCACGTTTTTATGTTTTTGTTTGTTTTTTCTAGTGTTTTTTTAAATGTTGAAAACTTTATAGTCTAATACTTTCCATTTTGTTTTTTTTTCTTACAAACAAACAAACAATCAAACCAAACCAAACAAACATTCAATCAAACGAACCAAACAAACAATCAATCAAACTGAAACAAACCAAACCAACCATCATTCAAACGAAATGAACAAACCCAACAAACAATCAAACGAACCAAACAAACACATATAGCTTCTTTTACAACTTCAAGCATTAGAAAGTGGTTATCGTCGTTTACCACATTCATGTGATACAGAGAAATCTCGTATGATTATATGTAAAAATCCAATTAATTGTCCAAATTATTATCCACGTGAACCATTAACTGGTACTGATAATGAAGAATATTATATGAAATTAGATGCACAAACATTATTTTTTATATTTTATTATTTTGAAGGTACTAAAGCACAATATTTTGCTGCTAAAGCATTAAAACGTATGTCATGGAGATTTCATACAAAATTTATGATGTGGTTTCAACGACATGAAGAACCTAAACAAATTACTGATGAATATGAATCTGGTTCATATATTTATTATGATTATAGAACAATGAGACAACGTAAAAAAGAAGAATTTATGTTTCATTATAGTTTTTTAGAAGATAAAGATTTTTAAATGAAACAATTTCTTGTTATTGTTACTGTTGTTGTGATTTATCACATATCTCTACTTCTTGAACAACATGAGTAATTGTACAATTGACTTGTGTATTGTATAAAAAAAGGAGAGAGAGAGAGCGAGGGGGGAAGAATAGGTGCTTTCACATTTGTTTGTTTCTTTGTTTGCATTTGTTTGCTATTTCATTGTGTAATTCTCTTGTTTTCTTTTCTTTCCTTTTATTTTTCCCCTCCCCTCCTCTCCTCCTCCCTTCTCAATTTTCCTTCAGTTATTACATAAATGCAGCTATTTACAATCTTTTGAACTGTTGATTCATTCTTCTCTCTTTTGTTGTTGTTGTTATTATTATTGTGTGTATAACATTATTATTATTAATATTGATAATTATCAGTGATATTATTAGTACCAATATATATATATACATAATATTATTTATCAGTGTTTCGTCGCTCGAAATTCTTTCTTCATCAAGTGTAAATCAATCAAATTCATAGAAATAATTAATCAATCACAAATCTTTATTATTTCCCAATGTGTATGTGGGTTTTCTCTTTTTTCTAATCTTTTGTCTTTATCAATGAATTGTGTAGAAATTGTTTTCTTTTTTGTTGTTGTTGTTGGATTAGTGTAATTTCTCCGCTTCGTTTATAGTCAGAACTTATATATATATATATATGTATGTATGTATATTGTAATGTATATGTAAATGTGCATAGAAACAACTGAACTGCATTTAAAACACATACTCGATATATATATATATTTTTCACTCCAAATCAATAAAGTTCTCTTTTTTTTTTTGATTTTTTTCTCTCTAAAGAAAGAAGGAAAAGAAACAATCGATAAATGCAAATAAATATTACATAGAAATACTAGTTCTATCTTTTATTGTTGTTGTTATTATTATTATTTCTTATATATATATATATATATGTATATAACTTTGCCATTTAATAGATTATTCAGTATGTTTTGATAAGTTTCAATTCACTTAGCATTATTATACTTGAATGTATTCATTGATTATCTTTAGGACTGGAATTGATCAATCTCTTATAAGTGATTGTCATTTCATTCTGTTTGTGTGTGAGCTGTGATACTACCCGGGTGCCCAGACTGAAGCAGGTGATTTTCTTAAGGGGTGTTTGATCTAAAGGTCTGACCGACATGGCAGTGGAGCATTGTGGGGAGATGTATTCTCATGGCAGCCGGTGACCAACAATTGGTTTCTTCAGGATACTGGAGTCCATGTGCATCATTGATTTGGGATCAGGTTGAATCGCCGAACATTCGCTTTTCGTCCTATCAATTTCGTAAACAACACCCCTGGTAGGAGAAGGCAGTGAGTAGGACTTCCTTAGCGGAGGCTGTATACGCGTGGCCATGTGAGAGCATTTCGAAAGAGAGGGCGGGCTCACTTCACTCTTGGCCATACCAGGGCATTTGCGGGCATATGTGAATCCTGTGCAAATTGCCTCGATATAGCCTTAAATCACAAGTATTATAAGGAAAGATGAATGGTGGCTAAAAGTGGGATCCAGGATGCACGTTTTGTCTTATCTTGGGACTCGTCGGCTACATGTTCTTGCATTTCAGAGTTGTTGTTCACTTTGGAACTCGGACCCTTTGCCGTTCGGTTCAAACGCTATCGCGTTATACACTTAACTACTGATTTCTGATAGCTACTTGCTTGTGCAATAGGGTGAAGTTTAAATTCACTTAATATTATTTTACTTGGATCTTTACATCTATATTTAAGACTGCAATTGATCAGTATCTTATTGTCATATATGTGTACTGTGCTTATTACCCCGATATTGTCTTAATTCACAAGCATTGTAAGCAAAGATAGATGGTGGCCATTAGTGGAATCTAGCTAGGACGCGGTTCCGTAATAATTGTGACTAGTTAGTTGAATGTGCCCACACCGCAGAGTTGATATTCACTAACCATCTTTGCTTATAAAAGTTGTCAAATAGTCAAGACTCATGAATTTGATTATAAACCATTTGTCAATTTCGTATCACCCAAGATATTCAGTCAGTCAACTACAACGTAGGACCAGGCACATATATGTATCGGTCCAAGTTGTCATACTTCATTAACACAGCACATACCCACAAACCTCAATATGTTAATGTAGATTTCTTATTTGTTGTACTACTGAAGTTGTGAACCTTTAAAGGCTGATGTTGTTTGTCCAAATAAACAATTAAATAACTGACTAGGATAACAAAGATGAATACATATTAATGACTAAGTGTTATTCTGTTGGGGACGTTAGATCTCCAGAACTCACTTGGGAAACGACCTAATTCTGTAATTTTATTTAGGAAATTTGAATTTCTTTGGTTTCGCGCCAAAAGCGCTCTTGTCACCTACATGTCGTATTTCCCAGTGGGAAGTTACTTAAATGCTGTTTGTCCATTGCGTCTTTTGGTATGCTATTTGGTAACACTCCTCAAGGACGGTTTTGTACTGTATATATACGTTTTGAATTGTGTTTGTTGTTATCCCTCGTTTCTGGCTGTTTGCAGAATATACTTCCTCATTCCAAGCTTGGACTTCTCCCTCTAGTTAGTGGGGCTGGGACGTATCAATAGCTAGCTTCCTGGTCTTTGGTCACCGAGTCTTGTTTCTCGTTCGTAGATTAAGTGAACTCGTTATAGCTTCAACCCTAGCATATTAAAATATAGTGATGAATCAATCAGAATCGAGTAAGTGGATTCTCACGCTAATCATAGAAGTGACTGAATTGTATGGAGTTCCAATTGTTTAAAATTTTTTTTTGTCGTTACCATAAAGTAAAAGTGATAACTTGATAACGTACGTCAACTGGTTACTTTATGGAATACAGTTTGTACAATAAATGATTGTTTCAATTTACTTTCTTATTGGTAATACCTGAGTTGTTAAAGTAGATGATGTTTTCACTCATGACTTCTCTCCTAACTTTTGAATAAATTAGTATGAAGTATATTATACTTGGATCTTCCCATTGATATCTTTAGAACTGGAATCGATCAGTCTCTTATAAGCATATGTGGATCCTGTGCAGATTGCCTCGATATAGCCTTAATTCACAAGTATTATAAGGAAAAATAGATAGTGACTAGTTGTGGGGTCCTGGTTCGAGTTCGGTGTTAACATGAACTCTGAGATGCAGGTGCATCATGCTGACAAGTCCCAAATACGACAAAACATGCATCCTGGATTCCACTGCTAGCTACTATTCATCTTTGCTTAAAAATCATTGAAATCTTGTTTAGTGGTTTTTGAGCAGTTGACTCTGGATTCATACGTCCAAAGTACATACTTTATTTTACTTTATTGAAAAGTTGCGTCGTATCACTGCAATCCTTATAAAAAGTGTAGCTGTAAGCCGAACACATAAACATTGTCTTGATAAATGAGTTAGCTTTCTGGTCAAAAAAACATGCTAAAACTATTTATTGTAATTAAATAAAACTAGTTATTCTTTGTGATTGAGAATGCTAGTTGTATAATAAGGGATTCCAGAAGGACGATTCTTTCTACTAATTAAAAGAAAAGCGTAAAAGTCAACGATTTATCCTGTTCTTTTATGATACATTTTATTCAACGTGATTGTTTGTCACACGAACATCATGTAGACATACTGTGGATACAATTGATTGTTAGTGTTATTAGGATTGTAATAGTTAGGTGTTGTTGTTACGTGTTTAGATATCACGGTGTTGATTGATTACGATAGTAGAATTCAATGAATTCTTAGATGTCGACAGTCATAAGTTTCTAGATTATGAAATGTAAGCCATGTTAATGGAGTTTGAGTGATTGATTATTGAACATCTGTAAAATATTAAATGAAAGTACTTTGTGATTCCACATATTCTTTGTTTAAGTGTAACTGCTTACTATGCATAAACTGAAATGTTAGTTTGTTGCGATTTCAGTGTACTGATAAGCAAATTTCCTACTGTGCGATATGTTCTGTGGTCAACTTGAGTGACAGGAAAAGCATATTGTAAACATCTTTTACTTTCTTAAAGTGCGAAATGCCACTTCAAAATTGTCGTGAGTTAATAATTAGTCTGTTCATACGAAGTGGAATAATCAAGAAGATCATCCATCCTGGTTGATTTGATAATTAAACATGTCATCTCAAGTACAAAAAATCTGTTTAGCTTCTGCAAATGTATATCACGTTTGCAGTAACTAACTATCGGTTTGTCTATCAAATGCCAATTATCCTGCTCAACATTCTTCGAAGTATTGACCGTCTATGATGGAATCTCACCTGTTGAGAAATCAAGCAATGTCAGAAATGCATCTGTTACTTATTTTTTTCACAGAAATCTTAAATTTAAAATTGTTTATTTTTCATTCTCTACGTTCATTCACATAACCTTCGAACTACATTCCCCACGTTTGGTTTCTCACTATCAATGGTATTATTTCTTCATTCTACCTTGTTATTTGGAATACTGCCCATGTAAAATGTGACAACCTGGATTTATATACACTGAATAGAGTCATATGTTATTGACCAGTGATGATTTAATTCTATGAAAGTTACTAAAGTCACATCTATTCAATTAACTATCAATGTTCATAATTTCAATCTATGCTTGACTATGTGTGTGTGTGTGTAGCATTGTAGTGTGGCGTCGAGTCGCGGTCGACTATGATCACCACTACAAGAAGGTTGCGTACCAGATATCAGAAGGCGATTGAAGGTTGTATCGAGATATATTTGTTAGTGATCTCGTGGTATCGAAAGAATACCGAAATCGTGCCAAAGGACTACAAGCGGAATCACTGAGCAAACGTAAGTGCGTGCAAGGTCACAAGCAACGGAAGAAGGTATATGTCTTTAGTACAGTTAAAGAAACAAATACAGTAAGACAATCACTGGTACAATTGGTCATAATAACAATTGTTTCCATTAAACCAATCGTGTTCTCTCGGTAAAAGTAGGTCAGTACAGCATACTTCATCATCCAATTTGTTGATCACTTCACAATTCGTCAATTTCTAGATCCATTGTCCTACGTAGATTCGGACTTCAGTTGTATTATTACATCAAATTAGTATATATATATTCTTCTTAAATGGGTAGGTCTATCAGTTGTATTTATAATGACTTTATTTGATGAGCTTTCTAAATTAGGTAATTTAACTTGGAATTGTTTATTCGACGTTGAAGTTGTCATTCACACGTAACTATTTGTTTGTTTTGATGATCTTTAAAAGCTTTCTTAACATGCGATACCCATGTATTGTTAATTGAACACTAGATTCGGTTGCTAAGCTCTTTTATTAACCCTCAGGTTAAGTCTACACAGAGACTTGAATATGACAGAAAATATGCGAAACATGTAAGAAACGCTTTGATCCACAGGTTTGTTTATGTACAAAAAATCTACGATATTTATAGCATTTTAGATAGCCTTGTGCTTCCAGAAAATTACGGAACGCTATTAATCACAGTAGCTGTATAGGTAAATCATCCAATCAGAAACTCAACATGTGACATTTCACTTTCTAAATGCTTTTGACAAAACTTCTACTGAACACTGATTAGATAAGATGCTTCTCAGTGTTTGCAGAGGCTTTCTTTTCAAGTTTTCCTGGATCTCCCTAATATAATCTGGCAAGACTATAATTTATAGACGGACCAGTCAGGTGTGAGATAACAGGTCTCGGATATTGGCGCGAAATCCACTCATCTATTTGGCTAAATAGATTTTTGGCATCATAGCGGATGTCAGTTCGTGATGAAAACCCCAAATGTAATTCCTACCTTTAACCACCAACTGTAAATCATAATTC